GTGTGCCATGGAAACAGTGGCAGCAAACACAGAAACCAAATTCCCCGTGCTCCTTATCTTCGCAGRGACTTTTCCGACTGGAGGAGCAGAGCTTAGCCTTTCCGTACTAWGAAAATATTTGAACGTATTATTTCAAAAGACGTTTCTGAAGTGTCTTTTTTTTTGGTGGATTTCAGTTGAAAACACATGGATCGTGTTTCACACTCTGTTTAGATAGGTGCTTGTCATTCTAACTGAGCAAAGAAGGCTCGGTGTGTGAATGCCTGAACGGCATGGAGCCATAGGCAGGGAAAGGATGTTATCAGGGAATGGGGGAAAGCCTGAGTGAGACAAGGGCTTCATGGCATGGGACATCACCTGTGGGGTTTTTAGTCCCTGCATCTTGGACAGTCTCTCAGATGGCACTAATTTGCAGCACAGTAAGTACAGAAAATAGTAAGTATAAGAAATGTGTCACAACAGATGAGTATTCAGTGGATAGCAAAGCTGCATTCTGTAAGAATGGTGAGAAAGGGCCTTGTGTTTTTYCTGACAGCCTAAACACTGGCAGCTGTAGAAAAGCTAGCAAACCTATGGAGAAGGGTTTAGCCATATGTGTGAATTATGTTTAATCTGGCAGATTGTCAGCATCTTATCACTGTGTGCTGGAGTTTCCTTTAGTGTTTGTGTGTGGGGAATATAAGACTTCACAATTGCCACTGATTGGAGTGGTCACTGCTTACCTCTTCCCATTAGAATAATGTCCTTCCAAGATTCAGTTCTCCACAGATCAAGATTCATGTCAAATCTGTGTTTTGCTGAATCTTCTGGGTTTTTTTTTTGTTTGTTTTGATTTTTTTTGTTGTTGTTTTTGTTTTTGGTGGGTTTTTGTTTGTTTGTCTTGTTTTTGTTTAGAGCCTCTGCTTGTCTTGCTTGTCTCACTGATATGCCACTAGAAAACTGTAAACTTCAAATTGCTCCAATCTTAGTAAAAGCGGTATCTTATGTGATCTTGTTATATGAAATAATGTAGTTTATTAGGAGGGGAGGAATTGATTTATATTCAGATTAAATTTTTTTTGTCTACTTGTAATTAGATTGATGTGCCTACTCACTGTCTTGTCTGTATTGCAGTACTGATTTTTCCTGATAAACCTGRTAGGTACAGACAACTGCAAATGCATTAAATTGATTTCTCTCTATTATAACATTGAGTAATTTGAGAACTGAAGCCACTGATGAAAACTGATGTCCAGAAGAATTATCTGGGTTACTAAAACCAAACCATGTATTTCTATATGTTATGTTCACACATGTTGTAAAAAAGACTCAGGAGGTTTTCTGTGCATGTTATTTTTTTTTGTATCTCGTGGAGGCTGCATCAAGTGAAATCTTGTATTCCTCATGCTGTAACACTTTTCTGTAATCTATCTCCATTAGAAACTTTCTRATGGCACCTATTAATTTTCTCCATAGATTTTAAATACTATTGATGCTGAGTAATGTATTTAATTAGCCCTGAACTTTCTGTGTAATCATTCCAATCTGTGCTTCTCTCTCAGCTTTTGCCTGTAAGGCTGACAAATGGCAGGAGGGGGAAAGGGCACTTTCCTGTCAGTGGCTGTGGAGCCTTTGGTCCTTGGGTTGTCAGAGCAGTTGCTCCTTCTGAAAGAGCTGTGAAAGAACAATGAAAATACTATTTAGCTTCATCTAAGAAGTCAAAACAATATAAATTGTAGCAAAAAAAAACTTCCTTATCTTCTGAAACAGGACATTTTTATGGTTCCTTTAGTGTTTCCCACCTTTCTGTTGTAATAGTATCAGCTAATTCGTGAAACCCTGTATTGGTTATATAGGCCAGCGTTAAGTTCAACTTTCTGTCTCTATTCTTTCAGTGTTTTAAGAGGAAAGWTAAATTAGCTCAGAATTAAAAGGGTTTTCTATGCAGCTTAGAGTCAACGGTAACAGAATCCTTTTCACATTTTTATGGGCATTGACATTTTTGGCTCTTGTATTTGTTATACAAGAATTCTGAGGTCAGACACATGGATGTCAAAATGCAGCTATATTGGTCTGGTAAAGGACAGTGTAAACTGTACTGTTTGATTTTTTTAAGGTTTTTTTTTTTAACTCATTTTTGTTTTTTACTGTCTTTCTGAGAATAAAATGAAGGGAGGTCTTTATATTTTTAACTCAGACCATGAAGGTAACATATGGTCAAATGCCAGCTAAACCATTTGTTTGCTAAGCAACTCCTCTAGATCACAATTAGAAAAAAAATATGAGTCAATTAAGGAGAAGAGTGGGAAGCATTCTCAAATAGGACAACATGCTTTTTGGAAGCTGGGAGCTTACATGAAATTTTATGGATAAAGAAGGCAGAGAGACCAGTCTTGTCAGTCTACAGTGAGATACATMATCATTTGTGTATTTTACATTAGCTTAGCATGGGAAAATCCTTTTAAGGAATCCTTTAAAAATAAGGCAGTGAAATCATATGCCTGAAGGCTGTTACTGGAAATTGTTTCAAGCAGAACAGGCTGTGCCATGATTATTGGGGACATTCACTTGCAGAGTGTACCTATGTTAAACCAGTCCCTGGTGTCTGCAGGATGGAGTTGAGAAAAAGAGTAAAAAGGAGTAGGAAAATGGTTTCCAGAGATTTTAGAAAACAGGAAAATCATGTGAAAATATTCCTATGGTGTTTTTGCCTGTTGCTGAGCATGGCAAAATTGAGGAGGATATTATTGTCCCTCTCTGGAAACTGAAGGTAAGAAGCTGTCATTCTTTACTGCCAACCAYCCTGTTTGAACTCCTTCAGAAAAAGATTGTGGAAATTAAACTGCTTGCATAAATTGTCCTCAATCAGGTCCTCATCCCTCTTTAACTGCACAGGAGGACACAAGTCAAACGGGTATGAATGACTTCAATCTGGACATGAGGAAAAGGCTCTTCACTGACAGGATTGTCAGTCACTGGCACAGGCTGGGTGCGAGAGAATTCTGTGGCAGCTCCAGAGCTGTGTGACTGCTCAGAAGAGGCCATGAGAGTTTGCTCATGGGGATTTAATGACTTGGGAAAGTTTTTGATGCTGATGAGAGTTGCTCTGTTAARTGTATGCTGTTAAAATTGTTTGGTGACGAAATACTGATACAGAGTCGACTGAAAATAAATTGTCAAACCAAACCTTTTCTACCTGCAACTTTGTGTAAACACCAGACAAAACTGTAGGATTTATAAACACAATTTAACCAAGTATTTCAGAACAGGTATGACCCTATGTACACGAATTAATGCATGTGTAAAAGGAGAACCCCTAATATTTGTGCCTTTCTGAAAACATTCAACAATAAAAAAGAGAGCTTTCAAAATCCCTCGAGTGAATCTTAGGGAGTAAAGGCAATAATTTTTCTGAGTTTTAATATACTTTGAATATTACACATGCATGTGGCCTCCCAAGATGTCAAYGTTAGAGGTATTTTTGGGGTCACAGACTTACCATTAGCAGCTGGTCTCTGTTAGTTAGAAGTAAAACCAAATGATCCCAACTMACTTCAGTAGGTTTTTTATACATGACTGTTCACAGACTACAAACAAAATTCATGGAGATTTTCTTTTATATCAGAAAAGGGAAATGGTAATGTATAYTGTGAATGAATGATGCCATTATGAGCTAATTGCATATTTAAAATGTAACATCTGATTAGTGCCTCTTAATTACCTGGGTATTTTCTTTAACAATAAACAACATTAATTTTTCCTTTCAAAAACCAGGTTATTAAAACTAGAACGACAAAGCTGCTGTTGAAACACGGACAATTCCTTGAATTGGCCCATTATCAGCGAGTCAGTTGTATTAATGCCCTTGTAAAATTTCTAGGTGTTGTTGCAGCGTGAAGGAAATGATAAATATTTGGACACTGTTTGGGAGAGGAATGAGCTTGAACAATTCTGTAACTCTTGAGTTAGCGTTGATGCATGTAAAACTACTTCAGATAAGATAAGCAGTGACATTTATGGTTGGACTTGGTGATCTTAAAGGTCTTTTTCCAATCTAAATGATTCTGTGATTGTAAAGATTTTGGGAAGCTGTCTAAATGAATAATTTCTGCTTCACATTCTAGTGTATAAATGGAGTAGTTAATTAAAGAGCAAATACAGTGAGACTCTGGTCCTCCTGTTTCTCCTTTCCTCTCTGCTCTTGTGCCTTTTGTTCAAATTTGTTCAATTTCTTTTCCTTGCAACACAAGCTTTAATACATTCATTCTCTACAGCCATCATCATTCTTCTTCTGTAGCTGTTTCTTTATCTCCTTTTTCTCTTTTTCTTCTATCCTCTATRATTAATTTTCCAGCCTTGTCTTCACTCCTCTGCAGCTAACTGAAGCTGCACTTGCTGATGCCTTCAGTAACGTTTTTATGMTTATACTGCAGAATAAATGAATCTCGATTTCTCCACTGTTTATGAGACTCTTGCTCTTACCCTAAGACTGCTAACTTCTTTTGCCATAGTAATCCCCTCCTACTTCCATGGAAGGGCTCGAGTTTGTGCATTTATTACAGCAGGGAGGAGTGGTGATCCTTATTTTAGAAGATATGTCAATTATTAGGAAAGCCAGGATTATTTTTAGTCACGTGCATCATGTAATCTCATTCTTGTGGGGCCTCTGTCAAGRTGAAAAAAAACTTGTGGTCAAAGATTATGTAGTGGGGTTGCAATATTGCCATTTTATCTTGGAAGTGGACTTATCTATATAAAAATGTAATTTTCCTCATAAGCCAGTATTGTTGAATATTTACTGTCAGTGGGCTGCAGTTCATAAGAGCACTTGCATGTTACTTCTTGAAATAAAGTAGTAAATATATAACTACTTACGTGCCATCAGTGGGCGTTTTTGCAGATGGCATTATATTTTTGCCTGAATATCATACAAGAATTTGGAGGACTGTATTATTTTGTAATGATGTAAACCTTCTTTCAGAATATCACTAATCAGTGAAAAAATGTTCTTTGCCTGCAGGGTGGAGTCCATTTCTTTTGCTCCTGAGAGCTGAATAGGAGCAGGGGACATTTCAGCTTTTCTTGATAAAGGTAAGACAGCATCTGTTGATAAGGATAAGACACTGTTCATTATTATGAGCTCATAGAAAGTTTGTCGATGGAGGGTTTGTTTATTTTGGGTTCTTTTTTTCTCTACTTTTGTGCTTTGTAGTAAGTGCAATATGCGATAATGCAACTTGTATGGGGAATGGAATGTGTAATTCTACTGCAGGTATCAGTAAAGGCTCCGAAGATAAGCAAGTACCTGTAGATCAGTGTGACAAAGTGGATAGCAATTTGCTCTGCTGCTGGTACTTGTGATATTTTCCATATGCTGTTAGGCTGGCCTGCCTAAGTTCACTGCATCATGCTTCCACAAACTCAGCAAGAGCTTTTAAAACCAGCAGAGTTTTCTCCATGCCACTTGTCAAGGAATTTAATAGGCTTTCCTGCTGCTGCCTTCAGTGCTGTGTATTGTCATATTTCAGTGCAGAGGTTGATGTGAGGAGAGAAGGACCTTGAGATCTATTTTAATTGAGATCACACATTCAAAATTAAGCAGCAAATACCTATCCTACTTGTGCTTATCAGAAGTGGGTGACTGAGAAGGGGATAAAACTCTCAAAGTCTTTTTTGAGWCATACCGTCCACAATGGCTCTTCCTTCATATTGTGCTAAAAGGTCTGACTTATAAATTTGAGTATTGAATTAAAGCCTGAAAAAAAACGTTTGGAAATACAGCTTCAAACTTAGTGTTGACCTCTTAATTACAGTTTTTGATGCATAAATCTACATAATACCATCTTTCCTTATTTCCTTTTTGTCAAATTTTGAGAAGTGGGGTTAGGTTTGATGTGACAAGTTTAACAGCTGCAGCAGATGGATCACCCACCTACCCTTAATGCGGTGCAGTGCAGGTAGGGAGCATAAATGTGGTTCAATTTCTGTTCAAAAGGGCTCGAATTCATACATGGTTGTTTCCAATTTGTCCTGTGACAGAGGCTGAAGTCTCTAATTGATACTGGTAAAGAGGAAAAGAAAACTTTAACAAAGCTGAAGGGAAATCAGAAGATGGATCAAAAATCAGTTTTTGGTGTTTGTGCTCATCAGTTTTTGGTGTTTGTGCTCATGCTGATTTTGAGGCTTTCCTGTAAGCATTGTATAACTTTCCTCATCATTAAGCTTAAACCAGCACTATCTTGCCACAATGTATGGATGAAGTTTTTATGAATTTACCAGTGCTTACATAGTCTACTGTTTTAGGGGATGAGCAAACGAATCACCTTCATATCCTTGTGATTTTATGGATATACAGACATTAAGAGTTACATTGCCTTCTTGCTTAGCAAAACACAGTTAAAATATTTTTAGTGTAAGAATGCTCTTTCAAAGTCTTTGACTGATTTCAGAATTCAGGCTTTAGCTTTAATCTCTTATCTACTGATTAATAAAATAATGCCCTTGGTTTTGCAGAACCCTTCTAATGTGCTCTGGTGCTCCTGTCCTTCTTCCCCCCTGCAACTTGTGAAGCCATTGCCCATCATTTCAAATGTTCACATTTTGTCATTTTAAAATTTACTCAGCATTTAAAATCTCAAAGATTAAATTGTTTTTGGAAAAATTCTCAATCAATCATGAWAGGAGAAAGAAATTTTCCTGCTGAAGGGATACATCTATTGAAGGACTTGTGGACTCGTAGTGAAAGAATGTTCCTAGATTGCAAAAGATGCAGGGTGAAAAATTGCCATGTTAACATACATGAAAATGTATTAATAATAATTTACTTATAAATTAATATAGCCTGAGCTTAATCCCATTCTGGCAAAACTCATGTTGAAGGAAATGAGAATTTACTGTGTTAGGATCTAATTGAGGATGATTTCTTTTTTCCTTTCCTTTTTTTCCACCCCCCCCCTTTCTTTCTTTCCTGCAGTGGAGTACTCGTGTAAAGTAATAAATAAATTTGAAAAATAAAACAGGCTTAAATGCTTAATAGTACCTACAGTGTTAAATTGCTGGTTACAGTCAAATACTTTTCTTCCCATCCTTGTGAGAGTCAGTTGCTTGCATAAAGCACAGTCCTCTGGTGAAACCATGTATTCTTGTGTTTTCTGAACCTTGAGCAGAAGTTATTCCTTCTTAGTGGTCRCTCCATGCTTCTTGTACATCCATTGAACCTTGCTCACTGATAYAGATATATATGTAGGCTGGATTTGATTTGCTGCATTTCTTTCTCTATTTAGAAAAACAATCAATATATCTGGAGTCTGTGTGGTGTGTTCTTCCCATGGCTGCACAAAGAAAGCAGCAGCACTTGGCTTGCTTTTTGTTACTTTGAGGGAGTGGAAGAGCTCAGAGTTCACACTCAAGTTTACCAGTATCCAGCAGGATTAAAGGATTGTATTTAATGACAGGAATTCTCCAACATAATCAGTGGCAGATGCAGTTTCTGGCTGGATGAATTGGTGATCCTGTGGTGAACCTGGGCTGTAGAGGCAGGATCAGCTAACTGTGCCACTGAAAGTTAGTTGTAGTTCTTAAACTCTGATGCTTCCCCATATCATAATTACTACTTCACTTAAATACTTCTGCGGTGCCTGCAGGCTTCACAAAGAAAAATAATGTTAGCTGCYTCCTACCTGCAGTCTGCTCCAAAAGCAATGCCCTTAAGTATTAATTTARCTTTATTTTCAATGTGATATGCTTCTGTGTTATACACAGAAAGTTTAGGTCTGTAAATTGGATGTGAGTGCAGGATGAATGCTTTCAAAACATGCTTAAAATCGTGCCAGCAGGCTGCCAACTCAGGCTGGGAGAACTCCAGGCCTTGTGCGAGGAAGGCCAGAAAGTGCCCTTCAACTTTCCCTACATCTTCTCTCCCAGTTTTGATGAGCAGCGTAATTCTTTTCATCACAACAAAGTTCAAGCCAACAATCCTCCCCATGTGTTTCTTAATTCTTTTTTCCTTGACCCTTAAATCAAGAACCTCTTGGGGCAGCAGCACTCTTCATACTTGTCTGGTTTCTGATTGAGCACGTGCGTGTTCTTGTCAGTCCTCTCCCTGAACAGAGGGGCTGTGTCAGAAAGCAAATGCCRTCCCCAGAAATAATATTTGCCTCAAAGGAGCTTGACCTGCTTTGTGATGTTTTTGGAAACAAAATGCAGGAATAAGCGTTATATTGTAAATGAAACGAGGAAAATAGGGTTGCTGTTTCCCTAAAATAAGAACAGAGCTTTAGTACTGCTGAAATGTTTGGTTTGCTGGGGGAGGTTAACTTTCCAGGAAGTTGGATGTTGTCTYGACTTGTTTATTTTGGATATTTCCACTAATTGATTGTAATCTAATTATCCACATACAAAGCCAGGCCTCTGAAACAGGCAGTAACTGCAGYTGGAAAGATTTATTGTTATTCTTCCATGGAAGGAGGAGAATTGAGTGGTATTTACATTTTCAGTAGTGTGTAAAGCTGGAAGTGGAGTCGCAGAGCTGGTGAAGTGTGTGATAGTTTTGTGTCTGGGAACTATCTTTCAATAACTGTTTTCATGACTCAGCTTATAGGTGCATGTTATAATTTTGAACAAATATCAACAGGTCAAGGCTGATTGTGTAGAAAATTATGCAAGGGGACATTTCTAAAAAATTCTAACCAATGAGTCTATTCTAGATTACTGGTGAGCCATTTTCAGCTTGGGGAGGTAACTGAAACATTGATGCTGGGTAATGCACCACTTTCTCACACAGTGGCTCATTTTCTTTTGTATCTAAAAGGTGATCAGTGGAGAAAAGGGAGGTTGGGGAGGAGTGGATGTTGCTGAATGGAGTGGAACGAGTTACTCATTCTTCAGAATAGCCAGAGGGTAAACTCAAGTGCRCTTGAAACACCACKCTGGTAAAATACCCCATGTGTCGTTCAGGCTGTTAAATACAATGTTTACTATTGACTTTTTTATTGGGTTTGAGAAAGAATCAGCCCCTGAGAATGCACTGGGAAAAATACACCTTGGAGGACGTTAAAACGTGGCAGTGTAGSCTGTAGTGCTTTGCACCCTGCATGGCCTTTAAATGTGTGTGGCGTGTCATGGAGAGCATACACATATATGGATATGTTAACCATACACATATATAAATATTCTGTAAATAAATATACCTGTATTCATATATAGGCATGTATGTATATATGTACACACGTATCCAGACATATATGTGTTTATACATGTGTTTATAATAAGGAAAAGTACATRCATTCTCAAACTGGTTATGCAGCAAGTGGAAGGCAGGAAAATGTGCAGAAAACCTTTTTTTTTAGTAGAGGAGGAAAAGAAAGTGAAGGGGTTGGTGGTATGATTTACTACTATACCTAGCAGGACTCAAGTTTGGGTCAGACTGGGAGTGAGATTCTGTTGAGGTGTGTATTTATATACAGAGGGAGAAGTGGTAGAAAAAACCTTTAAAAGATCTCTAACATAGAGGAAGGAGAATTCACAGTGCTTGAGAAATGTGGAACAAGTCTGAAGCTACACACTATTCATGGATAACTTGCTGGTTAAAGTATTAGTTATGATGTGATTAAAAGGAACCAACTTGTTCAGGTATTTATGAAAAGATGAAAATAAGGTAAAACAGGTTGTGGTGGCAAGGACAGGGTCGCATAACCTTGCAGCCTTGAGGGCTGAAAAGCAGGATGTAAACACAGAAACTAAACCCATCTTATCTTGGTACAGAAAGTACAATTTGCGTCTCCCCTGGCCTTGGATAAAAAGGGCAAACTATGGGATGCCTAACTGAAGTTGTTCTAGCCACTGATAGTGAAAACAAACCCACATCATTAAATGAAACAAATGATTTTCTTCACAAATGTACATCTTGTGGATTCATGGAATTGTAAATTCACTGCTGAAAAGGTGAAGCCTAGAGTAAAAGAAGGGGAAGCTGAATAAAATTTTAATTTACCAGAGTTGCTGAYTGAGATTATTTTTAGTGAATCCTGGCATATTAATATAAAAACACTGACTACATCAACCAGTGTTGTCTACTAGAATAGCAGAAAACA